GGCAGTCAGTATAGAGAAAGCATACACAGAAGATACCATGTGATACTTTAGAATGAAACAATTTTTCTGTTTTTCCTCTTGATTTGCATGGTGTGCCTTGGCTGTGCCTGGATTAAATTAGATTGTGATGTCACCTGTTAAATTTCTAATATAAAGAAAAATGAAAAATCAAGACCACATGAAAAAGGATTAACACAAGTTATAGGTGATTGTCAGTGGTTTCTCAATGCTGTAATTTCCAGAGACGTGATGGTTCCCCTTTATTATGTATGTGGAAGGGGGTAATATTTAAGGTCAAACTGCCAAACAAGGGAAATGCAATATACAGAAGAAAAGGGGTATGCAAAAATATGTGACCCTTAAAGGAATGACACATAATATCATGTCCTTATTTAAACATTATCCAATAACACATTGCAGAGATCATTACGACAAAAGGTCATCAAAATCCATGCAGAAAGGAACATATACAATCATAGCCCACGGCAGATCTCTAAGTCATCCTGCATTTCAGCTGTCAGTGTTCCCGGGATGTTTGAACTAGAAGTCTGCAGCGTGATTCTTTACAGACATCATGTGATGTGATTTTCTGTGACTTTTCGTGTTTAAAAAATGCATTGACCCATATCTAGAATGCCATATCAACTCTATTTTATAATAGACAAGTGCTATATATAATATCACTTAGCAACCTTGCATATAGATAGGGATCACATGTAACCCGTTTCACATGGTAAATTGAATCTGCTAGTTTTAAGGCACACGGAACACTAAATATAATCTGTACTCACAGTCGTGAGCCATGAAACAAAAGGAAAAAAGCAATATTTTAAAGATTTTATTTCAGTTCTGTAAAAAACTGGATAGCAGAGAGGGGTGATCACAATTACTCTGTGCAATAAATTTCAACTGACTAAAATATAAATAAATAAGTGGATAAGCATTTTATAGCTTGCTTATAATATAGTGTATAGCTGGTGTATGATTTAGTGTATAGCTAGCGTATTATTTAGTGTATAGCTGGCGTATGATATAGTGTATAGCTGGCGTATGATTTAGTGTATAGCTGGCGTATGATATAGTGTATAGCTGGCATATGATATAGTGTATAGCTGGCGTATGATTTAGTGTATAGCTAGCGTATTATTTAGTGTATAACTGCCGTATGATATAGTGTATAGCTGGAGTATAATTTAGTGTATAGCTGGCGTATGATATAATGTATAACTGGCGGATGATATAGTGTATAGCTGGTGAATGATATAGTGTATAGCTGGCGTATGATATAGTGTATAGCTGGCGTATGATTTAGTGAATAGCTGGCGTATGATTTAGTGTATAGCTAGCGTATGATTTAGTGTATAGCTAGCGTATGATATAGTGTATAACTGGCGTATGATTTAGTGTATAGCTAGTGTATGATATAGTGTATAGCTGGCGTATGATATAGTGTATACTGGCGTATGATATAGTGTATAGCTAGCGTATGATATAGTGTATAACTGGCATATGATATAGTGTATAGCTGGCGTATGATTTAGTGTATAGCTGGCGTATGATATAGTGTATAGCTGGCATATGATTTAGTGTATAGCTGGCGTATGATTTAGTGTATAGCTAGGTGGATGATATAGTGTATAACTGCCGTATGATATAGTGTATAGCTGGAGTATAATTTAGTGTATCTGTAAAAATGTATAAGCGGATGATATATGTATAGCATTTCAACTGACTAAAATATAAATAAATAAGTGGATAAGCATTTTATAGCTTGCTTATAATATAGTGTATAGCTGGTGTATGATTTAGTGTATAGCTAGCGTATTATTTAGTGTATAGCTGGCGTATGATATAGTGTATAGCTGGCGTATGATTTAGTGTATAGCTGGCGTATGATATAGTGTATAGCTGGCATATGATATAGTGTATAGCTGGCGTATGATTTAGTGTATAGCTAGCGTATTATTTAGTGTATAACTGCCGTATGATATAGTGTATAGCTGGAGTATAATTTAGTGTATAGCTGGCGTATGATATAATGTATAACTGGCGGATGATATAGTGTATAGCTGGTGAATGATATAGTGTATAGCTGGCGTATGATATAGTGTATAGCTGGCGTATGATTTAGTGAATAGCTGGCGTATGATTTAGTGTATAGCTAGCGTATGATTTAGTGTATAGCTAGCGTATGATATAGTGTATAACTGGCGTATGATTTAGTGTATAGCTAGTGTATGATATAGTGTATAGCTGGCGTATGATATAGTGTATAACTGGCGTATGATATAGTGTATAGCTAGCGTATGATATAGTGTATAACTGGCATATGATATAGTGTATAGCTGGCGTATGATTTAGTGTATAGCTGGCGTATGATATAGTGTATAGCTGGCGTATGATTTAGTGTATAGCTGGCGTATGATTTAGTGTATAGCTAGGTGGATGATATAGTGTATAACTGCCGTATGATATAGTGTATAGCTGGAGTATAATTTAGTGTATAGCTGGCGTATGATATAATGTATAACTGGCGGATGATATAGTGTATAGCTGGCGTATGATATAATGTATAACTGGCGGATGATATAGTGTATAGCTGGTGAATGATATAGTGTATAGCTGGCGTATGATATAGTGTATAGCTGGCGTATGATTTAGTGTATAGCTGGCGTATGATTTAGTGTATAGCTAGCGTATGATTTAGTGTATAGCTAGCGTATGATATAGTGTATAACTGGCGTATGATTTAGTGTATAGCTAGTGTATGATATAGTGTATAGCTGGCGTATGATATAGTGTATAACTGGCGTATGATATAGTGTATAGCTGGCGTATGATATAGTGTATAACTGGCGTATGATATAGTGTATAGCTGGCGTATGATATAGTGTATAGCTGCCGTATGATTTAGTGTATAGCTGGCGTATGATTTAGTGTATAGCTGGTGTATGATATAGTGTATAGCTGGCGTATGATATAGTGTATAGCTGCCATATGATATAGTGTATAACTGGCGTATGATATAGTGTATAGCTAGCGTATGATTTAGTGTATAGCTGGCGTATGATATAGTGTATAGCTGGTGTATGATTTAGTGTATAGCTGGCGTATGATATAATGTATAACTGGCATATGATATAGTGAATAGCTGGCGTATGATTTAGTGTATAGCTGGCGTATGATATAGTGAATAGCTGGCGTAGCTAGCGTATTATTTAGTGTATAGCTAGCATATGATATAGTGTATAGCTGGCGTATGATATAGTGTATAGCTAGCGTATTATTTAGTGTATAGCTTGCATATGATATAGTGTATAGCTGGCATATGATTTTAGCGTATGATTTAACCCTTTCATAACAGTTGAGTTGCCTGGAAGTCATCATATAAATCAGTTTGCTCAACACTTTGTCGTTACGGCTTAAGCACAGTGTCCATTTTTGTAAAATAGCTTTAGACCTATTTGAACGTCCGATTTTCTAAAATTGTATAATCTTCAATGCTGTTTTGTTTGCAAATTGCTTGCTATAAACGGTAGTTGCCTCCCGGCTTATTAACTTCTGCCTAAAACCTCTGCACAGTAAGATTCATGATATTAAATCAAGCTGTATTTTGCAGCAGACAGGAGGCAGACACAGAATGCATGATTATTTAGTGGGCATGGTACTAATGAGAGGTATGCTATAAGCCAAACATCTTTTTCTTTTTTCCCCTCTAAATCACTACAACTATTCTGCTCAACACTATGACTTCTAAATACATATCTTCCTCAAAGTTAATTTTAGATTTAAGTGTAACCTCCAGATAAATGAATCCCTAAGCTCACTGGTACTGTTAGCTATTATTGTATTTTGGCAGGAGTTTTAGGTTTTTATCGCTTTTACTTTTTGCATAGGTTACCATGCAGAGACCTCCCATCCTTGTCTTTCTTTACGATGTTAATCATAGCTGCAGATTTGCAAAAAATCATTAGCACTATGTGCTCATCTCTCCAAGTATTGTTGCAGGGGAACATATGCATCACTGTCTCTGTCTAACACCGAACAAACCAGGAGATTGATGCAAGAGATCTCTGCTAGTGATGCAATTGATTGGTGTATTTAAAGTGGTTAACCCCTTATACAGTTATTTCAAGGAAAACTGTAAGATAAAAAATGACACCCTATTTTTTTCCCCATGTTTATTAATTTTTATTACATTTTTTTCCGATGTCAGGTTACAGAAAAAGAAATTGCAAGGCAAAATCAGTATTGCAAGAAGTGGAAAATATAAGCATATCAAAATATGTACATACAACGTGTTCATTATCTCGTTATGAATGGACATCAACATTGATCAAAACAATGCAGAAAAACAATAAATGGAAAGCAAAAGAATGGGGTAGGGAAGGGGGCGGTTGAGGGGTAAGGAGGTGTGGAGAGCCTGGCTTACTTGTGTCTTCATTTGGCACTTCACTACCAGTTGGATTAAATCTTGTCAATTTTCGCTAAAGTTCGTTGAACACAATGTGACTTTTTTGTATTGCTTTACGAGATTGAGGCGAGTGATTTGACATCGTTCAGAGATGAGATGTTCTTTGATTTCCACTTTTGTGCTTTTGCTATCTATGTTGCCGTGAGAATATGTCAGCTAGAGATTTTTTTTAGGCAAATCTATGTCTGGGGGTTGAATGTCTAGCAGAACCGTCTTTGGGGGTGCCGAAAATTATGGGTGTGTGGTCGTTTGAATTAGGATAGGTTGTAGCTGGGGTCACAGACAAAAAACGTAGAGAATGTCTCCCTGAAACTTTTGATGTCTCCGTATGGCTGATATTTGAGAATAGAGATGCTTCAGTCTGGCGGGTGCCATGTACAACCTTAGAACCAGTTTTCTTCTTATTTCAAAGTGGTTAAGGTACTTGGATGTATTTGCTTCTTTGCCAGATTCCCAGAGGGTACGTTTGGTTCAAGTCTTTTTCCCATGAAAACATGAAGGCCAGTTTACCTTTTCTTAAGCTGTTGGTAGCAAGCTGAACGCGGCTTGGAGGGCATCAAATATTGCAACCATGGTCTATGTATCTCTAAAGGGATGTTCCTCTATAGCCATGGTGGGGATCTGATGGAAGATGTCATGCCTTCTTTATCTGAAAGAAGTCAACTATCCTCATCTCTGAGAAAGGATAACCTCAAAGAATTCATACAATGCAACAGAGAATCTGTCTTTAGCTTTGCTCGTAGCTTTTGTATGGAACTGTGTGGTACTCTTCTTTCCCGTTACTTATAACCACCAAAAAAATCGCAGATTTATGAGCACAAAATTACCTTTAGTATATAAAATCTATGGAAAAATGGGACGTAGACGTATTATCTCATCATATGGTAATTGCCTATCAGTGTGCCTCTCCTTCCCGTTGATTAAAGGTGTACTGCCTTTTAAAAATCCCATGTTTAGAAGAAGGACTTCTGTTGATGACTAATGTAGCACAACTGTGTTGCAGAATGTATACCAACTGCTGTGCCATTGAAGTGCTTATATATTCAGTAGAATGTGGCTTTAGAAAAGAAATGTGTCCAGCAGATGGCCCAACTTATAGAAAAATTGCTTTAAGGCATTCTAAGGCTTGTTTCTGACTCTAAACTGACCCTAAAGTGTGTCCGTACCAATATTTTTAATGTCCACCCTTGAATTTTTTCTTGGAGCTTACTAAAACCTGCACTATGCCACGGCCTTCACTTTTCCTTTTTATAGAAAATTTAATAAGAGAAAATTCTGTTGCTAAAACTGGAGAAGGAATAGACCATTCCACTTCCATCATCTTTTATGCCCACATTTCATGCAATAACAAACTGAATCAATATGAGAAAGCGGAAAAGAAAACATAAGTCATATCGCAGTAACACTTTTTACATTTGTGCCTTCCTGCAGAGCACAGACGGGTCCTGAGTTTTATGAAGGCAGATGGGGTTGTTGAGTAAGTTTATAAGCTCTCAGCTGCAGCCTGAGCTGAGAAAAGTACTGATGCAAAAATCTAAATGAATCGCTGTAGCTGAACAGAGTAGCAGCTGAATATTTAAATCATTTTTTTTTGTGCATTGGCAATTACTTCTAAAACTAAAATAAAGCCTGTCTGTTCACTCCTTCATTGCTGGATAGAGGCGTGAAACATAGGCTAAATTCTGTCTTGAGTTGGATGGAGTCTGTGACGGACTAGCCTCTAGTTTTAAAGGGACACTCTACTACTCAAATAACAAAATAAATAAATCACTGTTTTGTAAATATTACCACAATGAAAACATGCATGCATTTAATTACTTTGGGGTAAATCTTAGAAATAAAAAAAAAACGTGGCTTAGAAAAAAAGCTGCAGCTCTCTTGCCATTGGCAAGCCCACCCTTTTAGCCCAGCCCAGTCTTTCTGGGGCTGTCCAATCACAGACTTCCCAATGCAGCTCAATGATAAGTCTTTCCAAGGCAAGTGCTCTGAGCAATTGCTGCCTCTTGAGTTTAGCTCCGCTGAGCTAGCCAAACCAGGAAGTAACAGAACCTGTTGTCTGATTGACAGTCAGGTTGGTGTAACAAGGTTAATTTATAAATGATAAATTTCTATTGAAATTTGCACTTTAAGTAAAATGTTTCACATGTAAAGCATTTCAGTAAACTAAAATGCTTTAGGGGTCTGGAGTGGTCATTCAACACTCAAGACAGTTGTGTAAAAGTTGGGAAAAATATTAACTAGCTTTATACTTTGTAATTTTATGAAGACTGAGGACACAGCTGTACAAACAACTGCTTGTTCCAAGAGTCAGTTCTGCATTCCCTTTAATTCTATTGTTTGTGTGTCTAGTACTATGTAGCAAGGCAATCTGGGGCTTCAGTTACACCGATTTCTCTTTCTTTATCTCTTACTGTTCCTCTCTGTTAGTAACAAGGTGTGCGAGAATAAGACGTCATTAAACTGGTCCAAACATGGAAGCAGATATCAGAGACACTGGTGAAAAACGTGTCTAATTCATTTTTGAACTGCAATAATGATTCCTCCAAATCCTTCCATAAATTGAAAATGTCATCAGTATGTCGCAGCTCTAATATTGACATGACAAAACGAGTGATGGGAGCAAGCTCTCCTTAAAATTGGCCATACACAGGTGAGGGTGCCATATTTGGCTCATAGCGTTCCCCTGTTTTTGTAAGTAATACTTCCTCTCAAAGGAGAAGTAATTACATTTAAAAATCAGATCCAGTAGAGAGATCACAAATTTGAGATGATCTTCAAGGCCTATTGTGTAGCCTAGACACCCCTAATATGAGGGATGGAAGTATATAAGCTACTCACGTCCATGATACAAAGAAAAACATTGTCTGCCAACTTGGCTCCAAAGTAACATAATGTCATTCTGATAAAGGTCTTTTAATCCTTACCATGATTTAATAAATTACAGCCTTCTCCAAGATACAAGGATCATGAACAAATGTCCGTCGTTACCTCTACCAATCTTCTGTCTGAATGTATATATAGATTTATACAAGATATATAATTTTTTTTTTTACCAGCGACTATATCTCTCTGTTACATGTATGTATACACAAAATGTAATTTTTAAGTGGCTGTGTTTCCTAAAGTAACACTAACTCAGTTTAATTTAATTACAAATATTTCCCTTCTTGCTGATAGTGCAGTATCTCTGTTGAGGCACCAGTAGATAGAAAGCCTCTGCAGACCTCTGTAGAATCGCCTGCAACCAGCAGTGCTCACACTGGCAGACTAATCCATTGTATATCAGCTCTACAACTGCAGCCCTGCCTCCCCCTCCTCCTGTAACATCATCTGCCTGGCTATACTTGTAAAACCCATGCTGATGTCAGTATTCAGGGCTGCTTTTATACATATCTTGATGCTCAGTGCTTACACTCTTAAAAGGTTTTTGAAAGAACCTTTAAATTGAGCATACTTGAACTCCAGAACAACAATGCATTTGGATTCCTAAAAGAAACATTCAGAATGAATGATATACCAGAAAAAGACCACCATATCGTCCAGAAGAGATTATAGGAAAAGCTGGACTGTGATGCAGGGATCCAGAACATGGGTCATATTTTAAAGACCTTGGCTGGCAACCCCTGATGCTTGTAGACTAAATTTTGCATGATGTCTTGACATTTCAAGGTTGGCTGTGTATCGTGGAAAGTAATAAAGTAATATATGGCAGAGATAGAATTGAGATGAGAGTTATCATTTGTGCCAGGTAAAAGGGAAAGCTGCTCAGCAGACTTTTTAATAAGGGAGAAGGAAATAGAGGGGAGTGGGTTCCAACAGGGCTGGGGTATGCAAGATATTTAATTATGGTTATGATTATAATGGCTCAAGGGATAAAGACAAGAAAAAGACTGAAAAGTAAAGTAATATGGTATCAGTTTTCAGAATTACTGACTTAAACATAAATTTAAAAAAAATCAATTGAGCCAACAAAATTGTAAAATTAATATGAGCATCGATCACGGTATTTTATTATTCTTTTGTAACATAATTTAAAGAGTCAAAAATATTGCTAGTGAAGTGTAACTAACTACTTGGAGGTCCAATGCCCGAAATTGGTTAATTTAGAATGGGCGACAGGGACAATTTAGAAGTGGAATAGATGTCCATAAAGCACGACTGTCCATGCTGCTGTTTATCTAAGATGGCAACCGCCATGAATGTGAGTGCATTTATCTTTCCCCAAAGGTTCAATGTGACATTCCAGATGTCTAGCAGTCACAGACTAGAAATGGTGGCTTTTCATATTTAGGACGGTAGTATGAAGTGGATGTACTTGTAGTTTTTACCCATTTACCAATAGCATGGTAAATTTAACTAATAGCAATAAAATTGCATCTTTATATATGTGCTCAAACTAGTGACATAACAATATAAAACACTAATTTCACTTATTTAAATCTCTTGGCTGAAGCAGAGTTTAAAAAATTTCAAAAGTCTAAGAACAGTTTAAAACTGGGGTTCCTTGATTGTGTTTGGGTTTTAGACCTCTCAGTTTTTTTGTATCTATATTCAGTCCTTCACAAATATGTGCAAAATGAACATGAACCCAAGGAGCCAGGGATCCATGACTTCTAATAGTGTTAATGCTTGTATTGGGGATTTAAAAAATAAAATAAAATAGATTTCTAAGAATATACCTTTCCCTGGCTTATAAAAAAATCTGAATTGATCCTGAATGGATGTACTTGGCTTACCCTGGCTCCTAAAACAATCACATTGATTTCTAATAGATGTGTCTGGCTTCTAAATCCACTATATCACAAGTCCGGTAGTACTTCACATAATTCTCAATTTATTTGTCATTGTCTTCATTCCAATTCTATTGGAGCAAAGATTGTATCATAAGCTGAAGGTTCATGAAACAATTCCTGCTGAGAGTATAGTTTATTATTTTATTTTAAAATTTTATTTATTTTTTAAACCCAGCTTATTCACACAGACATGTGAAAGAAGATGGTAGCTGCAAATAGGGCTATTGTGTGGTTATACATTAACATACGAGAAATAGTTTATTGAAATGCACCCCGTATAGATTTGAAACACAAATTACAGACCTGGGTTGCCAATCTGCATTGTGCCATAAACCATTAACCTTCTAATTCATCTCTGGCCCTCCAGGTGTTGCGGAACTACAACTCCCATGATTCTTTGAATTAATAGTTAGTCAGGGGGGCGGGGTTTACCAAGCATCCTGACCAGACGCCATTTATCAAAGCTCCCTAAAATAAATACATAATCCTGCAGATATCAGCAGAACTGAGCCTAATCCAGCTACCACACAAGCACGACCAGGGCCAGAAGGGCAAGTAGCATCGATCGATGCCTTTCTTTCAACCACCAAAGTCAGCAAGACAGAAACACAAAACCGGGGCCTACTGCACGCTGCAAGGCCTGGAGAGTCTCCTGGGAGGCACCACAACAAACAGTGCTGAGATGACTTATACCCTAACACCGTCAACCTCGCCGACAATTATGCCGGGCATGGGCAGGCGCTCCCAAAAGCCGCACACCCCAGCAGAAGGCAGAGACATAGGAGCCATGTTTCAATGGCCGGCACAAACTAGGCCCTCTACCGCAAGCGACATTCCCAACAGGGATGAGGATGCGGCACCACAACAATACGGGCCCGAAGGCCCTCGACACTCACCAACATCCTCCGCTGGGTCACAAGAACCATCCGACGACTCAGTACCAACCACCAAAAAGGACCTAAAACTCTTTCTAGCCGAAATTCACAAGATGCTGGCCGCCGACTCGGCCATCCTCAAAACATAAGTACGGGCAGTATCGGAGAGAGTCAGAACCAATGAAAACACCTTAACAAAGGTACAATCCCATCTTTCCACTATGTTGGACACTATAAAAACACTGCAAACACAACAACAATTGATGTCACTTAAGCTTACCACACTGGAAGACCGCCAGAGACGCACCCACATCAAGATTAGGGGCATCCCCGCACTGATTACGGTGGAAGAACTGCCTCATTACATCAGGAGAATGCTGGCCAAGAAGGTAGCAATTGACAGTGTCTACCGTCTTCCACACCCCTCTCACCTCCAGTCCACCGCGGGGCGAGACGTAATCCTCCGCTGCATCTCCCTACCTGACAAACTCCAAATAATGTCAGCGCTCATAAAAGCGTAATGAGGGGCCACTTCATAGCGAAACGTGCCGCACTTAAAAAAGGTATAACCGCCAGACTTAAAACCCTAATAGCGGACATACAGACGTTGGAACACAGACACAAACAAACCCACCTGCCAGCAGACTGGACGCAACTGACGGAACTCCAGAGGGAACTTTCCTCCATTCTAAATGCCAATCACCATAGAGCCTACCTACATTCCAAAGCATTCTTCCACACTAACGCTAACAAATGTGGTGCCCTCCTCAGCTGCATGATCGCCAAAAAGAGAGCGGCGGCCTACATCCCTAGGATTAGGGACAGAGACGGGAGGTTACATAACATGCCGACCGAGATGGCCAACGCTATTCGGACATACTAAGCTGACCTATACTCGCTCGACCCACACAGGGGAGAGGGGGATATGGCAGATAGAAAGACAAGGATAACAGAATACCTAGAACCGCGCATTGGCAGCCGCCTCACACAAGAGGCAATAAATATATAGGCGTTTATCCACTAAACACAGAAATGAAACAATTTTTTTCAAAATTAATTACAAAATTTAGGTGAAAATAGATGATTTAGAAAAATTCCCTATAATTGCAGTTCGGTAAATTTGCCAAAATTTTTAATAGTTAGTAGTCTAGTTTTCAATTATCCACAAACTCAGTGGGTTATTCACCAAAGTGAGAATTGTCAGGAATTCCAAGTTAATTTCAGATTTAAGGCTAAATATTTAGTAGATATACCCACTATGAAAATGTGTACGCATTTAATTATGTATTTTTTGGGGGTATATCTAAAAGCAGTCTGCAATCTTGTCTGCAGCCATTGCCAGTTCTTATTTTCCTACCCAGCCCAGACTTTCTGTGTCTGTCCAATCACAGACTTCCCAATGCAGCTCAATGAGAAGTCTTTATAAGGCAGATGCTCTGAGCAATTTTCCACCCCTTGAGTTTAGCACTACTGAGTTAAGGGGACTCTGTAGGCACCCCGACCACTTCCGCTCATTGAAGTGGTCTGGGTGCAATGTCCCATGTCCCTTAACCCTACAGTGGTAATTATTCCAGTGTCTGATTTTCCCCCATAGGAAAGCATTCTATGGGGAAATCCTAAGGTGATCGTGGCCTATGCTGTGCATGCACATTAGGTCTACCCGGCCGGTGGACGTGGGCGGAGCCAGACCCAGCGCTGCGGAAGTGGGGGGCGTGAGGGAAGGGGGCACTGTAGGATTCTATAGTGCCAGGAAAATGGCTTTGTTTTCCTGGCACTATAGTATTCCTTTAACCAAACCAGGAAATAACAGGAACCATTGTCTGGTTGAGAACCAGGGGTGTAGTAACAAGGTTAATTTATAAAAGTCCCAATTTCTACTGAAATAAAAAGTAAATAAAAGAGGATACTCTTTTTTTTTTTTTTGATTCAATTTGCTTTTATTGACATCATAACGATTGGCAATACAAAGTTATATGCATCAATACAGAAGGTGGCAAAAATAGTGTACATGTCAGTTATTGTTCATTTGGTATAAAGGTATCGTTAGTATTTATGTGAAGAGAGCAATTTTACAAAGTAATAGCGAGCATCTGATTCCATTCCTACATTGCAACATCTTTCAGCATTGACAGTTTTCAAGAAGGAACTAGTCTTAGAAAAATAGAAAGAGAATATTTTCGCCACGCTCACAAGTTTTAGACATGAAAGCTATAGAGAACACTCAGATTCAGTCATTTTATTAATTGGTATGTTTGTGTTGGGAAGCAGATAAACTGCGATAAGGCAGAAACTTTAGTGCTCCTGCTGTGACCTTGTCTAGCCCTGCTTCCTGAGAGCGTCTCTACTGATCAGTTGGGGTGGGGGGTAGGGAGTGGTTGTCGAGTAGTGGGGCGTTTGGGGGTCGAGGGTCCGTCAGGTAGTTTTTGTCCTGTGTGCGCGTTTGTTGTGGGTATCCCCTTTGCGCTAGTCGCTGTTCTTTGATGTGTGTGGGCGGTGGTTGTGCGTGTGTCATGCGTCGGGGTGTAGTCTTGTTGGGGTGTCCCTTCTGTGTTTGGTGTCCTTCTGTGTCTGTTTGAGGATCCTATTAGTGTCGGGGGTGTATTGGTCGAGCGGGTGCTGTCCCGGGTTGTGAGGGTTGGGTGGGTTCTGGTATCGTGGTGTAGTGCACTTGGGTATTGGGCGTTTGGACAGTCTTGTTGGTTTGGTTCATCCCTTGTCCGATATGTGTTGGTCATGGTGGGTCTTTGTGGGTGCTGTGGTGTATAGTCTGTCCTGTAAGGGAGGTGGCGTTTCTGCGAGTGTAGGTGGCATTCTCAAGGCAGCTTGTCGGCAGTTGGTCATGTATTTTAACGTGTGTTGTGGGGGGCGGGTGGGATGGGAATGTAGGTTAATGGGGTGAGGGCATTGCGGGTGAGGGTAAGGTGCGGGAGGGTAGGGGGTGGGGTGTCAGGTCCCGGGTCCCCACCTCAACCCCCCCCGCCTCCGGGGCAAGGGGCATCTCCGGCTCTGAGCGGTCGACTTGGTTTGGTTGGGTCGGTGGTTCAGCTTCCGTATTGTCGTCCGTCGGTTCCGTCAGGGCCGTCCCATCTGCCTCTGCTGTCAGGTGTTGTGTGGTCCCCGTAATTGGTGCGGTGGAGGCGAGCCATTGGAGCCAGTGGTACCATGCATCATGGTAACGTTGTATGCGTCCCGTTGCGGAGTGGATGAGTTCCTCGATGCATCTGATGTCTTCCACTCTCGTTATCCATTCTCTGATAGTCGGGGCCATGTGTTGTTTCCAGTGTCTCGGGATGAGGCTGCGGGCTGCGTTTATTAGGTGTGGGAGTGCTGTTTTTCTGTTGATGGGGGTCTGTGTAAGTTGGAGCAGGTATGTGTCTGGTGAGAGGGGTAGGTTTGCTTCTGTTATGGTTGTGAGTATCTTGTGGATCTCTGCCCAAAAGGGCTGGATAAGGGGGCAGGACCACCATATGTGGAAGAGGGATCCCAGTTCTCTCCCGCATCTCCAGCATTCCGGGTCATTTGTGGTTTTCATCATGCTAAGTGTTTCCGGTGTCCTGTACCAGTGGGAGAGCATTTTATATCCTGTTTCTTGGAATTTGGTGGAGATGGAGGCTTTATCTCCACCGTTGTCCATTGTTCCGTTGAAATTGAGTGTCCTAGATCCCTTTCCCAGTATTTTGTGAAGTAAGGGAGGGGTGCATTAGTGGTGGTGGTGGTTTGCATGCGATATAGTAGCGATATTGCGTGGGGGGGGGTTCATGCATATGGTCTCGAATACGGAGAGTGTTCGCGTTGCCGAATTTAGGGTCGGTGTGCTTCTCAGAAACCTCGTCAGTTGGTGATATCTAAAGCGTAGGAGCATATTGTGTGGGGTATTCGGGACCAGGGTGGTCAGGGGCGTGATTGTGCCTTGGTCACAGACGTCCTTCACTCTGCAGGGGGTCGGCAGGCCCAGGGCAGCCGTGTAGTGGGGGTCCGATGCAGGGGCAAATTTCGGGTTGTGAGATATGGGGCATAATGGTGAGAGCTCCGGGGCTACGTCTGTGTGAGTCGCCAGTCTCCTCCAAACTGCCATTGTAGCGTTTAGGGTTGGGTGGTTCCGTGGCAGTTCCCCGGCCATGGATTTCGGCAGCCAGGGTAGAAGTGTCAGGGGTATCCGTGAGAAGCTGGCCTCTATGGGGATCCATAGCTTGTCTTTCGGGTCTTGTGTCCATTCTATCACTCGCTGGAGGTGTATAGCATGTCTATATTTTGTGATATCGGGTAGTCCCAGGCCTCCCTGTAGTTTGGGTCTGGTGAGGGTGGCGAAATTCAGCCTCGGCGTTTTGCGGGCCCAGACGTAGGCCATCAGTGTTTTACGGGTTTGTGTTAGGAAGGTTTTGGGAATGTGGATTGGTAGGGTTTGTAGGAGATACAAGATTCGGGGGAGGATATTCATTTTGAGGACACTGATCCTACCCAGCCACGTTATGTGCGGGAGTTGCCACGAGTCGAGGTCCTTCTGTATGCGGTCGAGGAGGGGTGGGAAGTTGATGCGGTAGGTGTCCGACACATCAGCCGACAGCCAGATCCCTAAGTATTTAATCCTTTCTTTGCACCAGTGAAAAGGGAACTCTGTTTGCAGTGTAGTTGTCAGTGCTAGGGGGCAGTTTACGTCGAGAATTTCAGATTTCGTAAAGTTAATTTTCAAGTTGGAGAGGGTGCCGTATAGGTCAAATTGGTGCGTGAGCTCCCTAAGTGAGGTTGCCGGGTTGGTGATTGTGAAGAGGAGGTCGTCCGCGTATGCAGAGACCTTGGTGGCTCCCCAGCTACCCTCGATTCCAGTTATGCGGGGTTGGGCTCGAACTGCATTGAGGATACTCTTTTTATACACATAGGCACTTCAGCAACCTAAAGTGTTTTAGGTGTATGGAGTGTTCCTTTAAATATTTAATTCTTGA